AAAAACAAATGAATCATAGTATGTATGTGAGTCAGGCTATGTTCACACTAGATGAAGTGATTTAAGTTAAATCAGAATTGAGCAAGTTGATTGGTTAATTCATATATAAATCATCTTTTCGAGACGATTTAAATATGAATTAACCAATCAACTTACGCAATTCTGATTTAAGTTAAATCACTTCGTCTAGTATGAACACAGCCTCAGTGTTCGATGATGATGCATTCGGTCCTGAATTGTAGAAATGCAGAGATATAACACGCTTATGCACTAAGAAATTACGTTTGTCTAATAAAAAACCGAATTGATATATATAATTCATTTTCAATTTTATGATCAGTAAAAATAGATACAGTCCACGACAAAAATTTAAGTGAAATTGATTTTTCAGAATATTTTCTCAATTTTTTTTCATATTAGAGGTCGAACACACTAGAGACAACTGACTTAACTTAAGGTTGAATTAAGAAATGTGATTGGTTAAGGGATCGAACACACTAGAGACAATTGACTTAACTTAAGGTTGAATTAAATAATGTGATTGGTTAAGTCAGACTTAAGTCATCTTTTTGAGATGCCTTAAGTCTAAATTAACCAATCACATCACGTAAATCAACCTTAAGTTAAGTCACTTTTTCTAGTGTGTTTGACCCTTTAGGGCTTCTCTACACTACAAAATTTAATACCAAATTAAGAAAAACTTGATTGGTCGTAAAATAAATTCAGATTTAATGTACTTTTCCGAGACGAATTAAATTTAATTCACCAATCAGTGTTCTGAATAATGAGGGCACCAAGCAAAGTCAAAGTGAGTGCTTCACGCATTTATTTTAGTTTGCATGCTATTTTGCACTCTACTCAACAAGAAAAATAGAATGTACGCGCTGCACTCTGTTATAGCATTTTTCACTTTGTTTTATATTAGTTGTTTCATCTTCACAATGAATTTTCTTGTTTGATTCAAGCAAATAGTCTTTTCTTATTCTTATTTCAGATAATGAACAAAGAAGAGTCATTCAGACTCTCTCAAACAACATCTATAGAAAAGGTTTTAGTTCAATCAACTAGACCATCATTTGGTCCATCAAAAGAAAACTCAAATAACAATCACAATCTAATGACTCCGAAACGAAGTTGTCACGAGCGGGGGGGGGGGGGGAAGAGGAATCATACTCTTATCTTTAGAAATTTTGTTTTTATGGCTCAATTTTTTTTTAAATCTTAGAAGAATCTTCGACAAAATTTTAAATACCCTTTAAAAATGATGAAAAATTTCTTACACTCTTCAAAAATCTTCGAAAAACTTAAAAAAAATTCTAAAATCTTCAGAATTTTTCAATTAATTTGTCAATTTTTTGATTCAAAATTTCGATAATTTTTTGAAAAATTTATCGATCCCTTCCCCCCCCCCCCTGCTTTAATACCTTGCAATAGCTCTGCTTCAAAATTATATTTATTTTTGATTAGTTAGAATGAATATCTAAATGTACAGATAGTCCTCATCGCTGATTTATTTTTGTTTTAATCTTTTGATTAAATAATGATTTGTATTTGTACTTTTCTTTTCGAATTTATTTAAATTTTACTACTAAATGATATTTTACATATTTCTTTATTATTATCATTTACATGTATACACGCACATAGAAGTCTACAGTATGAAACATAAACTATTACTTTTTTTTCTAGACGTATTTATACATTTCCACTTTGCTACACTTTGGCTCTTGAAATAGAGTGCAGCATTTCAGCTCACCTACTGAAAAAGGGTGCGGAATCTCACTATACTTCGAATTCTCATTCGGAACGCTGATTATAGTGACCATTTCTAAGTTCTGATTGATGCATTAAATTCATAAGTGTAGACGTATGTAGGTTTGATTCGAGATTAATATTGAATTAGTTTTCTAGTGTAGACAAGGCCTTATTAGATGTAGGTTTGATTCAAATGGTTATACAGACAGTATGAGAACTTAGCTACACCACCTATTAAAGTACGACATTCTATCTCTTTATATAGATTTTTTTATAATTAAAATAATTTCATTTTATGCAAAAACCAGATTTCGGCGTCTTTCACTGTTTCGTATTTCCTAACCAAGAAATTTGTGCTAAAATAAAACAAAAGTATATTAATCGATAGAGCATTTCACGCTCTACCAGATTATAAAAAAAAGATTTTTTTCTAGGATCGATCTTCACTTTTAAAACTTGACTTTAATGAGAATAACCGAAAAAATCAAATTCTTCAAATTCCATCATATCACAATCTATTCTTTTTTCAATTATTTTGGTAGAAAAAACGATGTTTACAATATTCTTCACTGGCTATTTGAATAGAGTATAATTTTCTCTTGAGGATGAAACCAATTTTATCTACGTCTTATTGTCAGGTCCGCAAGTATTAAAGTCGAAAAGTCTTTATGTATGTTTTATAATACTTTTCATATATAAAAGTATTTCACTCGTAACTGAAGAAAATATATATTGTGCCATTTTTGATTAAATTGGTGACAGAAACAGAAAAAGAAGAATAAATTTCAACTTTTGATGGACTGCTAAAAATGACCTCCTTTTGCTTCTATATTCAATTTTGAATCTTTTATGCTAGGATTGTAGAACATCAAATTTTCTTTAAAATCAGGGCTTTTCCAGCTATTAATTGTCTTAAAACACAAGCGATGATGGAATTTGAAGAATTTCATTTTTTTCGGTTAATCTCATTCAAGTGAAGATCGAGCGTGAAATGCTCTATCGATTGATATGCTTTTGTTTTATTTTAGCACAAATTTCTTGGTTAGAAAATACGAAACAGAGAAAGACGCCGAAATCTGGTTTTTGCATAAAATAAAATTATTTTAATTTTAAAAAATCTATAATATCGTTCTTTAATAGATGATGCAGCTAAGCTCTCATACTATCTAAATCAAACCAGAACTTAATAATATGAAAAGAAACTACGGAAAAAAATTTGAGAAAAATACTGAAAAATCAATATCACTTAATTTTTTGTCGTGGACTGTATATTGTGTGAATCCTATCATTTTGTGTAAAACAGTCATTAGTGTCTAAGATCTAGATACTGATGCATATCTAAATAAAATGTACAGTACACACTGTTCTAAATGAGCAAAGTGTATATTTACACATATTTTCATAAGTAAAGTGTACGAAATGTACGGTGTTTATGCTACATATTATAAAAAAATTACAAAAACATCTTCGTATCTCTGTCACCCAGTAAAAAAATGGAGATTAGTAATAGATACGTAAATAGAAAACAAGGAAAAAGAAATATGTGTGTGGTTCATTTAGGATGATTGACTACACGAAAATATAGTATTACGAAAGCACTCAGAATAAAAACCTTGATTTATTATTTTTCGCAATTCTAAGTAATCAATAAGCCTATCAAAACTGTCATGATACTTTTCATCGTCATAAAAACCAATATGATTTAAAGAAAACTAAGGTGAATTTTGGAATTTTTGATTTTTTTCTTTGCTGAACAGGCATTATAAGTAAAATAACATGAGAAAATATATCTCGTAATAGTTAGCAAACAAAATTAAATATACGGTGTGAGTGTTGCCCGACGTGAAAAGCTTTCATCTACATTCATACCTACAGTACTACAGCTAAAAATTTTGAAGATTCTCAAAATGAGTTGATATCATTGTGTTTTAATTATTTTGATTTCTATCATTTATATGAAACATTTTTTTTCTTTAAATCAACCTTCCAAATGATACAAGCATTCATATTGACTTCAGTGTACAATTCCACATGGAAAATTGTTAACATTTTGTTTTAATTTAAATCAATTAACAAATACAAGTAAAAACTATCCATCATCAATTTAATATAGCTTTCGAAGATGATTTAGTCAAAGATAAATTTTCTAAACTAAAATCATTAATAATAAATAAGATGAAACATTAGAACGATTGAAGATAACAGTGAAGGAGAATATGAAATAGAATCAATAATTGAAAACTGATCAGAGCATGAGGGTGTGGGTGTGGGGTGTGGGTGTGACTGTGACTGTGACTATGGATGCTGATGTACGCTCCTGTTTACTTGCATCCATGCCCACCAACACCCACACCCACACCACTCACCCACACCCTCCTCTTGATTTATCGGGCAACAGATTAGACGAAAGTAGCATCTCTACATTATGTTCATATCTGAAATCAAAGGGTAATACTCTGAAAGAATTGATTCTTGATAGTCATCCGGAAAATCAATACTTTCAAGTACAAGAGTTGTCAACAGTTAAAATTCTCAATAAGAATGATTGGCAAGCCAGTTCCTTACGTAATGAGGAACCTTGTCTCTTGGATCTGCAGTATATATCCGACAGTAATTGGTCAGAATTGTTGATGACATTAACTAAAGATGATACAATTTGTCGTGCGATGCATTTGGTTGTTAAAAGCGAAGTTGATCAAAAGCAATTGACCTATGTTAGAACTCTATTGGATAATCAGTTTCGATTGAAAAGTTTAATAATTACTGTTACTGATAATCTTTTGGATCTATCAATTCAACATGACTTATTTCAACGTCTAAAAGAAAACAATTCCATCATCGATTTTGAACTTCATTTCAAAATCGATTTAAAAGTTTTTAATGAGTTTGTAGATCTTCTAAGGAGCAAAAATAATTTTATTCGCTTGATTCTGTCTGACAGTTCAAATATAAGCGATAAAGAAGCCATAATGTTGAGTCAAGCTTTAAAAAACAATACTGTTTTACGTAGTCTTACAATCAATCAAAGTCAAACTAGTGATATTGGCTTAGAAGCATTTTTCTCTTCATTACCCAATTCATTATCTCAGTTAATCATGAACAACAATCAAATCACTGAAAAAAGTCTACCTTCTCTATTTGCTTTTATCAATGACTCTCCTACTTTAAAACACCTTTCTCTCACAGAAAACCGTATACGCAGTAATTGTTCAACCGAAATCAATGTGCTTGAATTTGCAGAGAAAATGGTCAAAATTGCATATGCAAATCAGTGTATTTTGGACATGGGTATAAATGATAAGGTTACAGCTGCAATAGCAGACTCGACAGATGATTATATCAGTTTTTTATTTACAACACTAGTAGATGATGATTTACTTGGATTGCATTATGAATTAAAGAAAATACCCAATCGTAATTGGTCACTGAACCTCAGATACAACAGAGATATATCGTCCGTTGGTTATCGTTATTTCACTGATATTCTGTCTTCTACAATTACCATTGTTGAACTATCTATTGGACAAAATCAAATGAACGAGGAGGCACGGATAAGTTTTCTCAATGGTCTTTCTAAAAATAGGACACTGAAAAAGGTCAACATGTGCGAGAATAAACTTAACAGTCAAGATATAGAATATATTGGACGTTTCATACAAAACAGTCCGATCCTTAAACAGATCGATTTACGTGAGAGTGAAATTGATGTTGATGCAGCAATTCATTTAGCCAAATATTTACCTGAAGGTAATTTAGAGATTCTAGATTTAAGTCAAAATTCTATTAGTGATCGTGGTTGTGCAAGTCTTCTTTCTTCCATTCCTCCTACCTTATTGAATTTGTCACTTCGTAAAAATTAAATTACAAAATCAAGTTTACAAACAATTCTTACTGTTCTTGATATCAATCAAACATTAAAAAAACTTAGCATTTGGAACAATCCAATTCTGGAAGGAACAATTTATGAAGAAATAAATAAAGCTGCGAAACAAAATAATATTTGTGAAATTGATTAAATTGTCGTTCATATCATTGTTCTTCATTTAATTATTTTACTTTCTGAACTAACACTATTCACTTTATGGTAATTGTCTAGAACTAATTCTAATTAATCGTTAAATAAAAGAATGTTTTAGTAGAATTACATATTAGCTGACTAGGGAAAGACACTACTAATAATCTATCAAATAAAGCTAAAGTAACTCCATCATTGAACAAAGAAAATTTTCAGACTTTGCAAAAATTAGAAATCCATTATTTCTATTACTGAAAATGATAAACGTGCAATTTCTTGATCTTCACAATCAACCATGCTTCATTTGCCTACAAAAGTACGCTTAAAAAGGTATAAGATGAAAATATTTCTCTGGTTTTGTAAAAGATATGTCACGCTTCAGTTTACTTCCAGACACAACGTACCAAACCTGTCAGCTTTATACGACCTCAATAATGATGAAATTAATCTCAATTCTGAATAATATTATTATTAACTGAAAAAGAAATCATAACAACAGAATAAAATAGAATTTTGATTTTTCTGATGGATAAGTTTAAAATAGGTAATAAAAAAATGAAAGATTTTCTCAAACAAAATCGATCGAACTTCAAATTTTATTTGTTTTTTTATGATGTGACCAAGTGTTTTAGTCTCATTGAACTATTTATCACGTATTTGTTCAATTGATGTTCTATAATTATTGAAAAAAACAATAAAAAGAAATAATCAACGTACTATAATTCGGTGAAAATAATCTTTAAATCGCTCACTAAAGTGAATAATTACAAATTTTCCACACCTTAAGGCCCCGCCCTCCCTTAAAAAAATCAACTTTTGGCTCAATTTTTCGATTTTTTGATTGATGGCTTATTGGATAGAGCGACATGTCGGCTATCGAATTTACCATAATTGATTGATCTTATGTTAATTTTTCTAGGGTGGGTGTGGGTGTAGTTCTTTGCCCTCCAAATCCATACCTCACACCCACACCCTAATATATATCTGTAGTTGTTTACAGATATGGTAGGCGAAGATGAACAAGAGCTGTTGGATATGAGACTTGATCATTATTCGTGTATATCCTTATATTAATTTATATAAACTATAGTTAATCAAGATTATTTTCATTTAATAGAACATGATAAGATTTCTTGTATTCATTTTAGTTTAGGAATGCAAGGGTGAAATTGGTGATTGATGTAAGGTAGAGTGCTGCACTAATCAAGGCACACATATATAGAATAACGGTGAGCGCTTGATAAAAATAAGGTAATCTAAAATTTATTTCGACTTCTTGTATCGAAGATGATCTACTGCAAGAAGAATAGCTAAATTTTATAAAACATAACTAAACCATGATGATTGAACTCTTCTTGAGCGAGAGAATAGAAATCAATCTAAGATAATTTTAGCTTAATCATGCGTTCACCATTTTCACTACTGGTCTATATGTACATATTTCAACCAGTGCACCGTAAGTGTTGTATTCTTATTTTGAAGTTTGTTGAAAATACATTAATAAAATAGAAGGAAATGTCCAGACAATCTGATATTTCTGATCTGCATGCTATTGTACATGAAGTACACTTTGTTTTCGAAGACTTTTTAGTGTATTTTTGAAAAGAAACAAAACTAAATGCAAGTTTGCTCTAATTTTATAAAACACGTTACTATTTTAATGTGCTGCTTTAATCTTTTTTTGATTATTTCATAGCAGATAATTAATGCGGGCTAGTGGGAATGATTGATGTAGTTTTACGGTACTTATCCCAAAGTACTCTTCTCTAGTCTCACCACCAC